TTTTTTTCCCTTTCTAATGACACAATTCAACTCTTCAAACAACACTTTAATCATGTCAAAACTCTAATAACCCCTGTTTCTCTGTCTTTTCCCTTTTATATCAATCACTCCCACTTTTCACAAACTCACATACATGGACCTCACCAACGACGCCAACGACACAAATTCTCAAACTCAAACCCCCCAACAGCTCACCACCACCACCACCACCAACGGATCCCTCAAGCGCCACCGCCCCACCACCGTTCCTCCTCCCTCACAACCACCGCCCGCGGTGGTTTCCTACAAGGAGTGTCTCAAAAACCACGCTGCCAGTATAGGTGGCCACGCGCTTGATGGATGCGGTGAGTTCATGCCCTCCTCTTCCTCCAATCCCACAGAACCCCGCTCGCTAACGTGCGCCGCCTGTGGATGCCACCGTAACTTCCACCGCCGTGACACACATCAGTATCAAAATAATCATTCCAACCCCAGGCCCAATTTCATAAGCTTCTACCACTCACCGCCGCCACCCCATCATGGCCCCGGCCTGTGTACTAGCTCAAGCCCAGGCCCGAGTCCAAGCCCAAGTCCGTTGTCAAGCCCAAGCCCGCCGCCTCTCTCCCACCGTTTCCCAGGTTCGAGACCGGTCCAGGGGCTCTTCGGCCAGGGAAACGAGCATCACCTTACGAGTTTCAATCTTTCCGAGAGCCCCAGTGGAAAGAAGAGGTTCAGGACCAAGTTCAGCCAAGAGCAGAAGGAGAAGATGCAGAATTTCTCTGAGAATTTGGGGTGGAGAATGCAGAAAGGGGATGAAGGGTTGGTGCAAGATTTCTGCAATGAGATTGGCGTTTCAAGAGGGGTCTTCAGGGTGTGGATGCACAACAATAAGAACAGTAGCAGGAAGAGATCGTTGGAGCCTGATGAAAAGATCAATGTCAATGCTTCTGATACTCTTAATAACAATCCATACAGCACCACCGATGACACTCACTGAGATTAATTAAGGTAGTTTTTTTTCTTTTTTTTTTTTTGTCTACTTTCCATATTTCTGATCATGGGTCAGAGTTAATCGTCTTAATTTTGATCCCTCGAGAAACTTAGAATCGAGTAGAAAATTCAAAATGTGATAGCTTTTTGTTTATTCATGTTTGAATAATTATTTTTTGGAGTTATTATTTGAGCTGAGGGTGAAGAGAGATCTAGTTTTTTTTTTTAGAAGCTACTGAAATGTCACATGAAAGGGTTGTTTTTGTTGATAAGAATCATAGGCGCTGAAGTTAATGTGGTTCCATAAATGTCTCACCCTCTTACTGCTGTCACGTTCATCTCTTGACAAGGACAGGTTCTATTTAACTAGTTTTGTTTGTTGTATTTAAAACTATTAATTTACTTCTGGTAAGAACAGTGCATCTTCTCCAAATGTCCATACTTGTTTGTCCCCAGACATCATAGTTTCGTCAATCTCGGAATGCAATCTCTGGTTTTGTCCAAATTCTCCCTCTTGCAATCACTGAAGTAATTAATGCAGAATTTGTTATTGAAAAAAAGTTGAAGATATCATTTACTGGAATATTATTTCTTGAGAGACAATATTAAAAGATTTGAAAAGAGATTTTGAATTGTGTTGAGAAGGAAAGGTGGATAGAAGATTTTGTGTTGATTGATACGTGATGGGGAAGAGGAAGATAATATAAATATATAAGTAAAATACAAAGTTCCCTTTATAAAGTAATATGTGAAACCTAATTGGAAGGGTTTGTTTATGAATTATGGGTATAAAAAGGAAGAGAGAAGATGAAAATTGGAATTGAGAATGACAGTTATGAGTAACAGATTGGGAATCTTTGGTGTGTCTGTGCGTAGTGGAGACATTGGCTTAGGCCAATCTGTCACAGTGTCATCATCTTTCCATATTGGGCTTGGTTCAGTGGAACATCAACTTTTTCTTTATTTTATCAACACCTAATCATAACTCTTCTCTAAGATACTATATTCCATTTTTTTAATAATTCTAATCAACCACTCACTTTCTTCCATTCCAAATTCAGTGACACGTGTCCTTTTTCCCTTCTCTTTCAACTTTTATGACCCCGGATGATCCACATTTTCAGATTGTCGCCTCATTCTAAACACAACTTTTCAATCGAAGCTGAATCATATATGTTAATCCAATCTTGTTTTAGAGTTTATATAACTATAGTTGATTACAATTTCTCTTACCTTGTATTTCAATGGGTTCATTGGGTGTCAAATTAGACTAAGTTGGTAATTTTTAATCTAAAAAATATAACTCTTTTTCATTCAATTAGTCTATTTCATGGACGATAATTTAGTTTACATCCTTGAAAAACATACAATAATATGCTTTTATATTTTGTAATATATCCATTTTAGAGAATTTTAAACAACTTCTCTATTTCATTTTTGTCTCTATCTTTTTTTTACCATACTTACTTTTATATCTCACATTCTTTCTCTCTTTGTTTCTCTTACCACTTAAGATGAAAACGTACCCAAAAATATCATTACAATAAAATATAACTTTATTTTCATATATTAGCAGACAAATTGCAACATTATTAATTATATAGACTTTAATACAACAAACACAAAAATTATTTTCTTTTAAAAATATTAAAAGTATAACATTATTTTTAACTTTTTTAATAAATAAATATTTGTATTAATGTTAGATTAATGTTAAGTTAACTTTATAAAACAAAAAAATTAAAAGAAGGAATATTTAAATTTTTTTTATTAAATAAGTATTCGTGTTAGGATTATATTAACTAAAACAAATAAGTTAGTATCAATTTAGGCTAATCTTGTTTATTCATATTTATTTAAATTAGTGTTTTATTTATATTTATTTAAATTAGTGTTGATTTCATTTGATGTAATGTAATGTATTAGTTATGATATAGTTTATGGTTTGATTTGGGGAAGTTATGACAGTTTCTTTGTCTTGGCAAACTGTCAATAATGACTGTTGTTTCCTTTTTCTTTTTCGGAAACAGACTCGGTTAACTCTGCAATGTTAACAATCATTATGTTTTGAATATCAGATTTGTCTTTTCTACACTCATCAACCTCTTCTTCCTTCCACTTCGCCCTTTGGCTCAATCCATCTCCACGACCCTCTGTTAATTTTTACTCTCTATTTGTGAAACAAACTCAAAAAAAAAATTATGATAATAATTGAATAAAGAGACACTTTTAGCATCACTATAAGAAACTATTTCGGTCATTACTTCAAGGTGGAGAGACAAACAAACAACATAAAGTAATATGATAACAACGTCACTGAATTTAAAAGAAAACAAATAAATAAACAACAATTAAAAGAAAAAACAAAATCTGCACAATCTACCGATCATACTTTGTATTCCATGTAATGATTAAAAGAAGTATCCATGATTAATTTTCAAATTCTAACAGAAAATGAAGAAATCTTCGTTTTTCAGAAGCAAATCAAACATTTATTTATAAGTCTCACCTTCTATGTACCGTTCTTTTTTCTCCCGTTTCTCTGTTTTCATTTTCCAAGTAACAATGGTGGATTGAAAATGCTCAATGCTACATTACGTATCTCACACAATCTTTTATGGATTGCCCTTTTGCGAGGTACTTTCTATGCAGAAGATGGGTTGTTTAATGACTCGACAAACTAATGAAAGTCAGCGACAAACGTTTTCATGATTAGCATGCCTTCTATGTTCCATGAAACTTTCATAAGTTAATTTCTTCTCAAGCAGCAACTGTATTACTTCAAACTGATTGCTCAAGCATCTCAAGAATCTTTCCTGTAGCTATCATGGCTAAGCCATCATATGGTTGAATGGACTTCGGGTAAGAAACGAATTAGGATCGTTTTGATATTTAGTATGACGAAGATTTATCTCTATATACAATTTTCATTACTTATTTAATTTCACTTCTAGATTCAAGACACATTTTTTAACACACCATCATCATTTTTTAGCTTTATCCAATACACAAATTTATCATAACAACACAAAGATAATCAGAAATAGAAGAAGAAGCAGGAGAACAATCGTTGACAACATATCTAAATTTCGAAGCAGTGGTGGCTACAGCATCATAGTAGAGAGTAGTGGTAGCTCTAAGTAGCGGTATTTTTTGTTTATGGTGTTTTGTACTAGTTTTTGTATCCAATTTTGAAATTTGATTTAAAAACTTATTAGATTTTGAAATTTGATTTAAAAATTATCAAAATTTGGTTTATCACACAAACCTATTTCGAAATTCGATTTAAGAGTTCGTCAAATTTTGAAATTTATTTTAAGAGAATTTTGAAATTCAATTAAAAAACTAACTAAATTCTAAAATTTAGTTAAAAAACTAATCAAATTTCAAATTGGAATAAGAAACTCATCGAAATTAATTTTTGAAATTCGGTTAATGAACTCACTAAATATTTAAATTTAATTGAGAAATTCATCGAATTTCAAAATTTATTTTAAAAAAATCATCAGATTTTAAAATTCAATTAAAAAACTTATTAAATTTTGAAATACGATATTTATTTATTATTGATACACATTTATCTATTTTTCTCGAATTTCAAAATATAATATGTTCACATATTTTAATTCATAAATGATTTATTATTTTAATATTATTAATGATAAAATACTATTAATAATATTATAACTGATATTATAATAATATTAATGATATATTTTTTTCACCATTATTGTAATAATAATATATCAATTTTTCTTATTTTATGATAATACGTTTAAATAATAATATAAAATTAGAGTTTATACTTTTATTACATACTTGTGGTTCAAATTTTTTTAACTTATTTTAATTTTTATAAACATTAATTAAATTTATTTTGACAAAATTTAATTGATTGCAAATTCATGCCTTGCAATATATATATATATATATATATATATATATATATATATATATAATTTATCTTATATACAGAAACCGTTTAAAAATTTTATATTAATAACTTCAAATTTTAGTTACTAAGTTTTATAAATATTATATTTAATAGCACAACATTTAAATAAAACGTCCTAGAGATAAAAAAAAAAACTTAAAAAAACTCATAGATTACAAAACAAAATCATCAAACTCCCCCTATATATATAAACAACATTTCCTGCAAAGTCACTTTTGCACCAGGCTAGATCATTTTTTCTTCTTCGCACACACCCACATGTGATAATCTCAAACCCCCTTTGTCTTTGTCAGTTGTTCTTGGGTTTTTTTTTTATATTTATTGCAAGAGAGTTGCTCCCTGCACCACCACTAACTGCTACCTGCACCTTCTCATACTTTATTTGTCCTTCTATAAAACGGATGTCAACATCCGTTTCACCTTCAACGGATGTTGACATCTGTAACATCTATTTACATATTTTATATTTTAGTTTATTATTTTTATTTAAAAAAAAAACTTCAACGGATGTGGCCACATCGATGTGTCACATTCGTTTAATGGATTTTTAAAAAGTTTTTTTTATTTATTATTTAAATAATAATTATTATTTTATTAAATAAAATAAAATTAATTTAAAAATAATTAAATAATAATTTTTAAAAAATTAAATAATATTTATATATTAATTTAAAATATAAAAAATTAAAAAACTAAAAACAAAATACAAAAAAAAGGTAACTGATGTGGCGTTTTTAATATACTTATAAAAAAAAAATTAATTATTACTTAAATAATAATACATAAATTAAAATTAATAATAATTATTTTATTAAATAAAATAAAATTAATTTATAAATAATTAAGTAACAATTTTAAAATAATTAAATTATATTTATATACTAATTTTAAACAAAAAAATAAAAAAACTAAACTAAAAAACAAAAAAGCAACCACCACATCCGTTAACGGATGTGGCACATCCTTTAACGGATGTGGCACATCCGTTTTAATATATGTATAATAAATTTTTTAATTATTATTTAAATAATAATACATAAATTAAAATTAATAATAATTATTTTATTAAATAAAATTAAATTAATTTATAAATAATTAAGTAATAATTTTAAAATAATTAAATAATATTTATATATTAATTTAAAACAAAAAAAAATAAAAAAACTAAAAACTAAAAAACAAAAAAAAGGCAACGGATGTCGCCACATCCGTTAACGGATGTCGCTACATCCATTAACGGATGTGGCACGTTCGTGGAAGAATTTTTTTTTCAACGGATGTTGACATCCGTTGAAGAAAAGAGGTGAGGATGTAAGATATTTTAAAATATAAAGGATAGTTTTGAAATTTTAAAAAAATGTGGTGGTACAGGAAGCAAAGTGGGATGGTGTAGGGAGTAACCCTCTTATTGCAACCCTATTCTACATTGCACACAACACATATTTACTACTATTTCACCCTACTAATTACTTGT